TGTGATCATCCAGCTCTGCACCTTGTTGTCTCTAATAAAAAAAGGAGGCTGTATTCAGGAACAATGCAGAGCCAACAGATTAATCCCTAAAAGAAGTTTGAAGCCATAAGATAGAAAACAAACAATAAACACTGTGGTGAAAACAAGGAAGGATGAATACCAAATTCTTTAGCACAAACTGGAAAGTATTGAATTTCCCATCTGAGATCAAGTGTTTTCAACAAAGGATAAAGCTATGCTTCATAGACAAAGAAGTTGCAGAACTGGCGAAGCAATCCGTGAAAATATTCACAACAGCTGGTAACGATGTCTTACATAGAGTTAATAGCTCATGTTTATCTTAGAAGGATTAGAAGGATCCTGCAAAGTTATGGAACATTTGAGATCAGCTGCATGTAAGAGCAGATTTTAGATTTTATTGAAGTATTCCAAAAAGATCTCTTGGGGAAAAAAATGAAAGGTCAGAAAACTGATTCACTGCTAACAGGTGGCATAAAATAATAAGCCGTTGTAACCAGATAGCAGTATCTGCAAGCATTAGGTACAGAAACTATATTGATATTGTTCCAGGACACAAAAAGCAAGCAATTTGTGAGACAAGTATCGTCTATCGCATGAATCAAAAATTGCCCTGAGTTCCAAGTTCTGTGCAAAGTGTATGCAGGAACAGGAGTTGACCATTCTGCCTCTTGACCCTGGACCGCCATTCAATATGATCATGGCTGATTTAACATTTCGATGTGTTTTATACACCCCCTATACCTGTATGCTATTGGTAAATCAGAAATCCATCTGTCTCCACCCTAAGCATTCTTAAAGACTCAGCTTCCACAGCCCTCTGTGCTAGAGGATTCCAAAGTTATTCCAACCAAAAGGATGAACACGCTTTTTGCGTTTTGAATCTGGCAAGACTATTAGTTTATATTGCTTCCAACAATATGATTAACCAGGAGATCACCAAGTTAGCTATTCCGGCAGAAGAAAACAAGAATACTCACATCAAGTCAGTCCAGAATTTACAACAACTTTACTGGACAGGTTTGACACCATAGGATGTTTCAAAGATGATCCTTTATTGTACTATAGGTGAATTGGAAGTCCTTAATATTATTGAAATGGAGAGAGACTGTAGAAAGCTGCAGAACAGAGAGGTTTCATGAATTACAAAAAGCTAACATTCAAGTTCAGCAGGTAATAGGGAAAGCAAATGTCCCGTTGGCTTTTCTTTCAGAAGGAATAGAGTATCTGTGGAATTCTTTGCTGCAGAAAGTTAGTGAGTTTGGATCATTAAACATATTCAAGGCTGAGTAAGACAGATTTTTAATCAGTTAGGGAATCAAATGGTATAGGGAAAAGGCAGGAAAGTGGAATTTAAGATTATCAAGTCAATCATGATCTAATTGAATGACAGTGCACACTGGATGGGCCAAATAGCCTACTTCAGCTATTGTGTCTTATGGTTTTATGGTCATCGACAACGCATTTGCCACATCGCTGTCGACTCACTTAACCTATCTGTAATCTTTTATAGCCTCCCAGGTTCTCATCACAATTTACTTTCTTACATCTGTGTCATCACCAAATTTGGCAACCACATCTCTGGTCCCTTCATCCAAGTTATTTGTATAAATCATATAAAATTGAGGGCCCAGCACTGATCCCTGTGGCACACCATTCACTATAACCTCCTTAGCAGAAAATTACTCATTATGCTTACTCTCTGTTTCCTGTTAGCTAGCTAATCTTCTATATATGCCAATATGTTACCCTTCCACCATGAGCTTTTATTTTCAGCCATCACCTTAAATGTGGCACCTTACCAACTGGCTTCAAGAAGTACACCACACCCCCCATTCCTGCTTGTTCGTGTCACATTTTACTTCCACAAAGAACTCCAATGAATTGTTTTAACATAATTCCTTTTCACAAAATCTTGCTGTCTTGACTTGATTACCTTGATGTTTTCTACATGTCCTGCTGTAATGCTTTTAATAATCACTTTCAACACTTATCCTATGACAGATGTTAAGCTAATCAGTTTGTATTTTCCTGCTTTCGGCCTCTCTCCCTTTTTGAATTAAAGAGCTACATTTATTACTTTCTAATTGAATGGAACTTTCTCCATACCTGAGGAATTTTGGAAAGGTCAGAATCCCTACAAAGAAAAGTTAGCTATCCCCTGCCCGAGTCTTTGGTCCCTAACGAAAGGCTGTACTAAAGTCCTATCTCTAAACATACCCGATTCCAATGCTTCCTGCTGTCCCAGTAGTGGCTTCTTGCTCCTGCTTACTGACAAGGTTCCAAATTCTGCTTGGTTTCAAGACACAGATTTCAGATGGTTTCTGGTAGTTAAAATCTCTCTTGCTAAACACTTCTAAGCTCAGGATCATTTACCTGTTCATTTCTCACCTCGAATTAAAAATGGGGATAAAGAGGTAGGCCAAAGTGGGAGTAATACAGAAAAATGAAGTGAAAGTCAACAAAGAACTTGCAGAGAGAATAAAGCTGTTCATTAAAAGAACTAAAAATAACTTCCATAGAATATTTCAAAATAATGTGACCTGGCCATTATATGCAAATTTAAGTCTCTTCAACAAAGCTTTTTTTAGATCCTAGTGAATTTGCTATATTGTCAAGAATGGACTTAGTAATTCATAATGAATTTATAATGGCAAGGTTTTTCAACCTAAATCTAAACTTTTTCTTGTTTAATCTATTTGTACCACATTTATTGAAATGCCTTTGCGGTTTACTTAAGTGTGGTTTATATTTTATATCTACCACAAGGGGAGGGGATCCAGTGGCCTAGTGGTATTATCGCTGGGGACCTGGATTTGAATCCCACCACGGCAGATGGTAGAATTTGAATTCAATAAAAATATCTGGAATTAAGAATCAAATGATGGCCATGAATCCACTGTTGATTGACGGAAAAACTCACCTGGTTCACTAATGCCCTTTAGGGAAGGAACTGCTATCCTCACCTGGTCTGGCCTACATGTGACTCCAGACCCACAGCAATGTGGTTGACTGTGAAATGCCCTCTGGGCAATTAGGGATGGACAATAAATGCTGCCTAGCCACCAACATCCTCAGCCCGTTAATGAATGAAGAAAAAAACACTGTGTAACTGATATAATTAGAAACATATTCTGTACTTTTAAAAAACATATTTCCAAATCACTTTTATGTCAATGAACTACAAATCAAAGATTGACTTATGTACAAAAATGTACAACTTTAAAATGGACATTGCACTATGTTTCTGCCTAGTCCAGTTATGTCCTGTTTTCAGTCATCTTCTGAAGATTGCCAGAGTCTTGCCTCCATTGTACGACACCACACGAGATCATCTAGTTACATGATTAAAAATGAACAAATGTTAGAGGAAACTGTACAATATATTCTAGGAACAACATAAAGTTCAGTGCTCTGCAGGATAACTCTTTACCAAATTAGAAATGAAATTTTTGCAGAGCTTTTTTTAAAAATAACACAGTTATAAGGGCTATGAGACTTACTCTTTTGATTTTCCAGCTGAAGAAAACTTCAGAGTGCAGGCAAGGTATGTATCACCAATAAACTTGTAAATTCTATATTATTGGTGACGCCTATTGTGGTAGAAAATGACCATGAGGACCTAATTTTGGCAAGAAATTTGACTTTCATGTCAAAAATATGTAGACTTCAATACAATATCTTTCCACAAGTAGGAAGATACCATTAAATATTTAGTTTCAAATGCTTTGTTGTTATAGGCCTTAAGCAATTCTTTCATACTTCCTGAATACTTTATTCATTTCAACAATTTAAGTTGGATATTAACATTAATGTTGTATTCTTTATTCTGTCTTATCAAGACATCAACCACACATCAACCATTGCACTCACTTCTTGTCTATATCCTATCTATCTATATACACACTATTTAAAATGCAGCAACAAAGCAGAAACTGCAATTAAAAGCTTGGCAGAATCATCAAAACAAATCAGATTTCCTGAAGTCACATTTTATGTAATCTTGTATTTTCACAGCTGCCTTTCAGAGTTTTGCCTT